CATTCTTCATCAGAGAAAGTGTAGACTCAAGTAAGATCCTGATTCTGCCATCAATTCAGTTTAGTGGTTTGGAGAGTGATTTTCAAGCAGAGAGGGTGAATTGCATGTCTGACAGGTGCTGCTTAGTTGGTTTCATTGCTACCTGAAAGATCTTTGTCATTATTTTCTTCTCATGGACCATTTTACATCAGTGGGGAACTGGAGGAATTTTGCACAACCTGTTTTTTTGAGGGGTTTGTTTTATTACAAATGTAGGTACACATTCCTGAAACACCCACACAGACAACAACTTTCCAAAAACTAAAAACTATTTTGGGATGGCCTTGAGGCTGTCATAGGGCCTTTGTTGCCTGAGATTTTAGGACAGGACTTGATGGCATCCTGGTAGTCCCAATACCTGAGTGTTCATAGCTGCTTTGGAAAAGCAAATTGTCTCACACATGGTGGGGATTTAAGGGCAATATTTAATACCAGTAAACAGAGAAACCAAATAACAAAAGAATCTCTAGGGATAATCCTCTCCTTCCAAAACTGGCAGCTGCAAAGGAGGATGTTATATTTATGACAGGCAGACTAGGAGAAAATCAACAAAATATGGAAAGAAATGTAGCAAAGGTGGAAGGGAAATGACAATAACACAATATTTAGGAAATAACAGACAAGATGACAACAACAGAATATTTAGGAAATCTGTTGTGCTGAGTGACCTGTTGAGAAAGTAGCAGATATCAGTCCAAAGATAATTATAGGGCTGTGATTTGACATCGGGAAGAGAGGGTGGGAAATAACCCAAATTCCACTGATTCTCTGACTGTACTAAAGGAAAAAAAGGTGTCCTACTATCTTAGCCAGAGCTGAAAGCAATACCATAAACTAAGATTCTCAGAATTTCAAGGAGGGAGAAGGAAAGAAAAGAAGAGGCATAGCAGGACACCTTTCAGAAGTTCAGGAATTTCACCAGGAATTTTCATCTGATTAGACATACAGTCTCCTGACACTGTTCACTTTAAATTGTTATTTGTGCTGGTGACAAGCACTATAAACTCAGGGGAACAGAAATCAAAAGCAGTGTATAAATTTCTTAAGATAAAACTTCCAAAACAGAGAAGTTTAAACAAACACTTTCTCAAGCTGTTTTGGGTCTGTGGGACCAAACTTATTTTTTGGCCATCCCCCCACCTTTCACTTTAAGGCACCTTTATACCAGTAAAAATGAATACCTAAGTAGCCATAATCTCCTGAATGACACAATTTCAAACACTGATTTCTCCACATCAGCTACAGTTCAAAATAAATTCCTCATGTGTCAATCTCAAGAGGTTATTTCTAGAGGCTTCTTAGAAAATGAGGAGAGATTGTTTGAAGATGCCATGGGTTGCTGAGCACAGATCAGGCTGCTTATTTCAGGAGGATGCTGTGCTTTGTTGCAAAAGGCAGAGGTCCATGGAGCGACTGAGGAGGGGATCCCACCACACAAGATTTCTCCTGTGGGAGAGCAGCAGGATCCATTGAGTGCTGGATCTCTTTAAATATTTCACAGACTCACAGAATACCCAGGGCTGGCAGAGACCCACCAGGACCATGGATCCATCTCTTGTCCCTGCAAAGACACTCCAACAATTCCACCCTGTACATTCCTGCTGTGGAATTTTTTCCCTTCCTTCCTTGGTGTCACCTCCTCTTTTGATTTCCCCATGGTCTCTGTCTTGCCTCATCTACATAATCTGGAAGTGACACCATCACTCTCAAATACCAGCCAGTGTTTCTCAGCTCCTTTCAAACCATGTGCAAAACTAAGGGTGCCACTTGAGGAAGGTTTTGTGCTGTATTTCCTGATAACCCTGGTCACTGAATAATTAATTTCTGTGTTATGTTCTCTATTCAGAGCTGTTTATTAAGGTAGGAAATTGAGGAGCAAGTGTCATCCAAAAGAGTGGCTGCTGAGCACCTTGCAGAGCCTGAGCTGAGGAAATGACAGGAAGAGGGGAAATGGGGTTCTTTCAATGTTGAGCAGTCATTTCTGCCTCTCTCTCTGCATCATAGAAATTCTCATAGCTCCAGTATCTTCACCTTTACGTGAGGATAAGCTGCAGCTCAGATCCTGTAGAATTTTCTTGGTGACGTCTTTTAGTTTTGAGTGCAAATGCTCTAATTGGAGAGATTTTTCTAATTTTATTCTTTAAAATATTGTTCCTGTTGTGTGTCGTTTTACATTACAACTATATGCATAAAATAACCTGAATCTAAGTGTATTTCAGAGCTGTCCCAGACAGCCCTGTCAAATTTCTCCTTTTAAAAGAAGTACCAGTAGATGCTTGTACTCTAGCAATAATTATAGGAATGATCCAGTTAAACTTATGCCGTTCAGTATTTTAATTTTTTTTGTTGGATCTGCATCAAGGTTGTGCTGTTAGGAGCCAAAAGCAAACCCCAGGAGATTAAAATAAATAAATAAATAAATAAATAAAGAAGTCAAAGTCATTTTGGTGTGTGCCAGATTACTGGGTGTGTTACAAATGCCAAGCAGCTCTGACCCAAATCACACAGTCCAAAACCGAGGCAAGCACGTGCTGGGAGCTCAGGGGAATTCAATGTCACTGCCTGGGACATGATAAAGTAACTTCCTGTGCTCAAACATTTTAAGTAAATAACTGCATTATGTCTTTTCTCACTCTGCCTTTCAGTTCAGCTCAGACTCCAATGGTACATGAGGGAAATCTGCTTCCCTGGTCTTAAGCAGTCCCTGGGGTGTGCAGAAATGAGGCCCAGCAGGACTGGGATTCTGAATGTGCACCGGATCGTTCTCTGGCAGAGCACAGAGCTGCTCTGCCTGGGATCCAAGGTCCCCATGAGGTTTGAGGGTGGTAAGGGCTGCTGTGCCCTTGTCACTGTAATTTAGTGGGAGAAAAAGAAGCTGCTTGAACTGCAGGTCAGGGCTTGGACTCGACTGGTCCCTTAGGTGCTGGGCAACATGAATTTCCTCACTCCCAGCTTGCAACAAATCACAAAAGGACCACATTAACTCCTAGATCTTCCCAGGCTAAAATCTACTCTCCAGTGAACCTAAAAGGTGGGGAGACAGCGAAAGCCAGAGGCATTGCCATCCCTTGAGATATCTGGTATTAGCCAGGATCCCATCCAGTGGCACTAAATGGGACTCCTGGGGAGTCTGAAAGCCTGGGCTAAATTGCTGTCATCTGGCTTCCATGTGGACAGCCCCTGATTCTTGCTGAATCCCCCCCAGCTGAAGTTCCTGGGCCTAAAATAACATTCTTTATCTCCCTCATCATATTCAAAACTATTTTGCTGTAAACCACCCCCTCAGCCTGGCCCCAGTGATTGATGGAGTGTTCTGCCAAAATTCCCCCCCACACACCCCCCCATCCTGGCTTCTTTACGCAGCCAGTTCTCCTGAAGGGCTGCAGAAATGGGGAGGGAGAGCCAGGCTGCAGTGGGTAATTCAGTCCTGTGCTGTCAGCAAGAGGGACTGAAAACAGTCTCACCGAGGAATGTAAAATCATCTGCAGTAATGTCTCCTGATACCAGGATAAAAACGTGCTGATAAAATTGTTCTTCATAAAGAAGGATAATATTAATAATTTTAAGGACTTCTATAGCCAGTTTAAACTTAAATGAGCCCTTTATTGCTCTCCTGCAAAGCACAATCAAAGAGCTCATGCTCTTTCAATAAACTCCAGGGTTCTTAAAGAGAGAGTTTAGTCATGGATTGTTCCTGCAGTGAAAGTATGGAGGTAAACAAAAGGGATTTTTTTAAATTTACTTACTTTTATTTAGAACAACCCATTCAGATGAAAAGTGTAGCTTTGGAAGCATCACCTCCGTCTACTGAAAGCATCGTGCTCTGAATTGTAAAAATCCAGAGGCCAGAAGCCTGCTCTGTGTTATGGAATTAGTGTGTGCAGTAAAACACAACTGCTTCCTGATGAACATTTTATCAGCCTTCCCTGGGCCTCACCAGGCTGGGCTGGGGCTATTTACTGCTCCTGTCTCCCTCCAAGCATTTGCCTTTGGAAGCAGCTCTGGTCTGCATCAAAGTGCAGGAACTTTGGAATGTGACGATAAATAAATCAATCAGTGCTAATGAACCTGGTGGTGGCTGCCTGGTGGCCCCAGCTGCCCCCAGACTGGCTTGTGCCATGGCCCTGGGGCTGGGCAGGAGGGGCTCAGGTGACAATAGGGAGGGGCAGAAAGACTTGGAGCAGCCTCACTTTTCTGTCCCCTCTAAGTTTAGAAACCAAATATTTCATTTTCCTCTTCTCTCCCTGTCCTTTTCCTAACTGGCCCATTTTTGTTATCAATAATGACATCTATACTTTATTTTCATGGAGAAAAAACATTCCTTCTTTCTTGTAGAACTTATGATTGATGGTCATTAGTCTCATATTAAAAGGCAATTTTGTTTTGGGATTGTTTTTGGTTGGTTGGTTTTGTTTGCTTATTTTGAAAAAGGATTTTCCCTTTCTTTAAAAAGGCAAATTTTGCATTTTGATCAAAGTATTTTCTTGGGGTAATCCAAAGCTGTGTCCATCTGGTGGTTTGTGGGTTGGATGGATGATTCCTGAGGAAAGAGTCTCTCAAGCTGCTAAACTATTTTGGAGATTTTCTTTGTAGACAGTATGTACCCAATAACCAAAGGGCATAAGGTGCTGTTGTGTCCAAGACGTCCTAGAAACTGAATTGACTTGGGATTGTAGCTCTATAATAGGTCAAAAATAAAATCCTAACATCATGGATATAAATGTAAAACTTATATTAATTTAAAATGGGCTGTGATTTCACTTTCTACTGTTTCATCCTGGCTATACTGATCTTTTCCCCATCAAACCTGAAGAAAAAAGAATCATCTTCTCAGACATAACTCTATGGTAAATCTTTGTAATATTTGTTGTGTGGACTAAGGGAATTTTTTACTAGCAGTAATAAAAAATGCTGATTTTTTTCTAAAAGTCTTTGAAAGCATTGAAGAACACTGCAAGCAGTAAATTTAGCACTACTAGCCTCTGTTTAAAGGTAGGAAAATTGAAGAACAAATTTTAGTAAATAAGTTGCCAAAGAGCCATGGAAAATTGGTGGCAACTTTTCATGTCTGAGCCATGAATGTACTGTTTGTTCCATAGAATAAAGCCCCTGTAGCTCTTCCTTGCCCAGAAAAAAACATCAGCCTGGCCTCTAGATCTCCAACAGCACTCTGGAAGGAAAAGAAATAAAAATGAGAAAAAAAAGTCACTTTTTTTTTTTTTTAAATAAATGCCTCTAGCTCCTTATTCCTTCTATCAATATTCTAGCAAAGAGACCGAGAGTTCCAACTTTAAAAAGGAATTGCAATAAACAAAGTCTCCCCTAATGTCAGCTCAGCGTTCCGTACAGCAAGTCATGTGGGCAGGAAGATTGGTGGTTCTGATATCTGGATGTTTGTAAGGTCTTTAATCAAGACATTCTTCCAACTCATAATTCAACACCGCAGAGTGAAATACAGAAGGTAATTGAAGCTGATTGATAAAATACGGATTTCCTCTCCTTGGAAGAAAGTTAAAGAGTACTTAAGGGGGAGAAACCCCAGAGCATTCGCAGTTCAAATGAAAAATATGCTGACATATTTCTTCCAGGAAAAAAATAAATAAAGATAAAAGTTACAGAAAAGAGTAGGTGACAATAATTAGTTTGTTGTTTTAAATTAGGAGGTCTCCTGGGCCAGATGTTAGTTGTCAGGGAGCGATGCCCCCTCCTGAGACATGTAATGAAACTAGATAGCCAGGGGCCTCGGGGAAAAAAATGGGCTCTGTGTTTGGAGATGTCATTTGATTACAATGCTCTCGCCTTTTGCCGGGAGCAGCCTGTGTCTGGGCATGGCAGGGAGCAAGGAGAGCAGGAGAGCATGCGGGGATGGATGGAGAGATGCAGGCAGGGAGCTGCGGTGCCCCAGCCCGGCCCGGCCGGGGACACCGAGCCGGCCGAGCCCGTTGTCCTGCAGGGGCCACCGGCCGGGCACGAAGCACAGAACTGTCCGGACTGTCCCCGGCACTCGGCGGACTGCGGGGCTCTCCCGTTCCCCGGCCCCGGGCACGGTTCTCCGGGCGCCGGGAAGCTGCACGGGGCCCTCAGGGCCGGCCCGGGCCGCGTCACCCTCCCAGGGGTGTCACCCTCCCAGGGGTGTCACCCTCCCAGGGGTGTCACCTTCCCAGCGTGTCACCCTCCCAGGGGTGTCACCCTCCCAGCGGGTCACCCTCCCATGGGTGTCACCTTCCCAGCGTGTCACCCTCCCAGGGGTGTCACCCTCCCAGGGGTGTCACCTTCCCAGCGGGTCACCCTCCCAGGGTTGTCACCTTCCCAGCGTGTCACCTTCCCAGCGGGTCACCCTCCCAGGGTTGTCACCTTCCCAGCTGTCACCCTCCCAGGCCCAGCCCTGCCTCCGAGCCAGCCGAGCCCCGGGCACGCCATTCCAGCGCGGGGCCCTCAGGCCGGGTCACCCTCCCGGGGCCGGCCCAGGCCTCGGTGGCACCCGCGAGTCCTGGGGAACCGAGCGGGCTCATCCCGGGACAAGGATGCTCCCACCAGCAGCACCTGCTCCGAAGCACTGCCGGGATATTCCACATTCCACACGTTCTGGATCACGTTCAGCACTAGTCGGGCTGGATGGGAACAAAAAGCGCTACAAACTCTGCTTCAGAGGTGCATATCGGCCGGTGCTTTGCCAGCGTGCAGGATGGCCCGCTGCAGCCACTGCAGCAGATCAGAGCCCTCGTCTGTGTCTCCAGCCACACTTACATCGCTTACCTTTCACTTTCAGTCCTGCCTCTGTCTTATTTCACTGCTAGAATAAGGACAAATATTAACCTGATTTCGCATCAGGGATAATACATTTTCCAGCGTTTGCATGGAGCTGTGTTAACTTATTAAAATATTTCTATGCTTCAGGAGCTGCAAATGCTAAGATGATGAATATAGAAAAATATATGTTTTGCAAAAGTTCTGCCACTCAAAACTATTTTCCAAGACTTAAGTGTTTCAGAGCCAATTAACTTTGAAAACAGCATTTGCATTTACTTTATCTCAGTGGGGTGAAGGCCTGAGTTGTTTTTGATTTATTATTGTTTAGGGAATGATTGAAAAATAAATCTTTTTAAAAGTGACTCATTTAAGGTGCCCACATGATGCACATTTTAGTATCTGCTCTAAAAGGTGTGCCAGCAGCATTCTGCAGTTTAACAGCTTCTAACTGGTTTAATAAAGTGCAGTTTGCATTTTTACTTCCCAGCATGAGCACTGTATTGTTTCAGATGATACAGCTGCTGACTTTTAATCAAATGGCAATTTAAGAGACATAAAGACATACCTCCATCTCATTCCCTGGCTGGAATTTCAGCACACAGGAATTCCGGAAGGAATGTTACTGCAGATTGTGGCACTTTTAAGCTCTCAATTGGCTTCTGGGTGATGATGAGATCTTTTTCATAAACACACCTGCTATCCAAAAGTTACAGGATTTTTCCATTAATTATATAAGATTACTTCAAGTTTATCTAATGGCTCTCTGGGACTCTGTCCTGGCTGCACTGGGAGTAGAAGATGCCTGGGACTTTGCAGGTTTAATCCTGGTGTCTGCAGTTTTCAAAGAACCAGAAGTTAATTAACTATAGCTGAAGGAATACTTTTGTACAGGAGTCAGGGTGAACCATCCACACATATCCCATGGAGTCAAAGCTCCCAACTGGTTGTTTGTTAGGAGTATTTTATAATGTTGATAACTGCTTTAATTTCTCAAACATGCCACTAATTGGATAAACTAGGGGTGAGTTCTGTGGGCATTTTGGGGTTTTATTCAAATTGCAGTTAAAGAATTCTTTTTAGCTAGTGTTACAGTCAGAGTAACGTTTTAGGAAGTGCTCTCATGACTGAGAAGTCTGTATTTCATTCTAAAAATTGACTTTGACACTCCTAGGACCACTTGAAAATCCAGACCATTTTGAAAACATTTATATATATAAATAGGAATTGTATGTGGAAAATAAACACCATGGAATCCCTTTCAGTTGAAAGTTGTCAAGCAGGATGCAGTCCATTAGAAGAGAGTGGAAAGCCCAGTGACAAGCAGGACTGGGTATTTTATTATTTCTCTGCCTCAGCACACATTTTTTGGCACAATGTGTCACAAAGGTTTAGGCAGGAGATGCAGGCTCAGAGCTGACTCTGTGGTGTGTTATCCTCCTCACATGGCAGGAGAACCCCCTGATCCACTGCCAGCACTGCAGCAAAGCTTTGCTGAAGGCACTGATGCTTTCACTCTTTTTTGACTGTTTAATTTACTTAAGGGAATGAGGAGTTTCTTCAGACATTCACCACTTTTGGTGGCAGTGCTGGGAGTGTGAGGAGGCTTTGATCTGCTCAGACACTGTGATAAGATGGGTGCACTCCCTTAGATAAACGGACTGATTTGCTTTTGCCTTTCTTAACAGGAAATGTGTTCATTGCCCTGAAGAATGTGGGAAAACATGCAGCCCTCTGAAGATTCCCTTGTGCAGCTCTGGGACTGGTCTGGCTGGATTTTCTGTTGCTTACTTTATAAATACATGAAAGGTGATTGTTGCTTTTACACTTTTGTACAGGAATGCCCCAGCTCAGTCATTATCTAACTGTTGCCTTCCCTTTCTTTCAAAATCCTTTCCTCTTTTTATTTTTCCCCTCTTTTCCCCCCATTTCTTTTCTCAGTGTTTAAATCCAGACTAAAATCCACTCCCATTATTCTTCTGCAGCTTGATTTCATGCCCACCCCACATCCATCTCTTGCAATGCTCAGACTGCAGGCTCGGGACAGCTTCTTCCTCATTTTGACTTCTGATTTCTTCCTTTTGTTCCTCTGATGATGTGGCAGAGCAGAAGACAGCTTGGAAGTTCTATTTTACAGTTAAAAGCAATATCCCACCATAAATTTAATGTTTGTTATTTTTGTTGTACTCTTCTGGATCTTGTGAACATGCTGAAAATTTTTGATGAAACAGAAACTTTTACAATCCTCTCAAGAGATTTGGAATTTTAGCTGATCTTCTTCCATTGTCTGTTTCTGTTGACTGAACTGCAGTTGTTCTCAGTTTTTTCTTTTTTTGCTTTTTTCCTCTCTTTTTGATGTATTTCAAAACACACTTAGGCTGAAATATCCCACCCCACCCACACAGACAGCAAAAGTCTCTGCAAATTCTTGAATGGCTTTCACATGTCCTGCCTATTCAGGCCTGATCTTATATTTTTATATACATCATATTAAAGGGAGGAACAATGTTTATGTTTGAAGGAGCAGGATTATCTTTTCCCAAAATCTCCAGTTATCAAAGGATGTTGAATAATGGCAATTTAGACACTGGTTTAGCTACAGTGCTGTAGATAAGCTACTTCTACGAGATGTTTTCCTTTATACAGCTGAAAATAACGGTTGGAGGTCTTTCGAAAGAGCCTGGATTCCTTATTCTCATTTTCTTTTAGTGCAACTGAAGTTCTTAGACCTCTTAAAGAGCTGTTGCTTTCCTTGCTGCTTCACACCCTCATTTTCAGAGGGAATGTGCTGATAACCCATCTCAGCATTGTTATGCCATTTCTCATGATGAATTCTCTGTGCTTCTGCTGGTACTGGAAGTGATGGAAGATTTATGAGATAAAGAAGAGGGACTGTGGGCCAGCAGGAATAAAATCAGACAGAGAGAGAGAACAGCCACCTCAGTGGGCCTGTTGCACCTCATGCCACCAGAGAACACCTGGGAGATCTCATCCAGCCTCAAGCTAAACCCTGATGTTTGTGGGGTGCCCTGTGTCTCCCAGTTCCCCCTGCTTTTCTCCCCATCCTCACAAGTTCTTGGTGCAGGGGGGCCTCTCTCTGGATGATCCTTTACTCCTCAGTTTGGTGTCTGTGGGAAAGTTTGTGCTGAGTTGTGCCCATACCCAGGCCAGGCAGAAATAATGCTGGTGCCTCAGGGACTGGCAGAAATCCCAGTGCCCTGTAAAAATGACCCTTCAGATGGTGGTACGTTGATTAATTTGTAGCTTTCTGTAAGTTTTAGAACTTTGTGAAAATGCTTAGGAGCTGTCATATCATTTACAAATGTAGTCACATTAAGACCTGGAACGATGGAGCTGCAGCCTGTTCCAGGTAGAGGGAAGGGACCTCTGCATTCCTGTAAAGGTGCCTCAAAGAAAGATGGAGAGAGGGTATTTACGGGAGCCTGGAGTGCCAGGACAAGGGGGAATGGCTTCACACTGACAGAGAACAGGTTTAGGTTGGATATTAGGAGGAAACTGTTCCCTGGGAGGGTGAGGAGGCCCTGGCACAGGGTGCCCAGAGCAGCTGTGGCTGCCCCTGGATCCTTGGAAGTGTTCAATATATCATGGGTCTAAAATTCCTTGGCCAGGAGTATAAAAATGTTAGCTAATTTTATTTTATATTTGACTCCCCAAAAGAACTTTTAGTTCTCTGGAGCTTGGGTGAGACCCATTTTTCCACATGGATCTTATCTCCAGATGCAGTCCCCAGTTCAGGACATATACATCCCAGCATACAATATATTTTTTAAAGAGAAGTACCTTATTAAGATGTTTCCTGAAGAGGGAGGCAGTTAGGAATGTTTTTAATTGCTTCCCTGAACCAGTGCCATGGAGCTTGGCTGCTGTACTACATTCCATAGTAAACCCTCTGATTTCTCAGCATCTCTTACAGCTTCATCCCCATCCAGTCTCCTCAGCTTCTCCTGTCAGCTTTTTCTGACACAGCATTTGGAGGCCTGTGAAGAAAGGAAGCTGATTTTTTTCATCTTCTGATTTTTGGGAGCTGAAGGTCCTCAGTTCCCTGCAGCTCTTATTTCAGTGTGGACTCAAGAGCACTGCAGGTGGGAAATTGTAGCAAAGTATAAAAATATGAAAATGATACTGAAAATGCTGCCCAGCTCCTTTCTTCCCCATGTGTTTCAGTGACCATCTTGATTGTTTCTGGGTTTCACAAGTCTGAATCCTGATTTTGACTTTGGGGTCAAGCCATATTCAGCAAGATGGAGCAGAGATGTGGCCACAGTCTGACCTGCAGAGAGGAGGAAAAAAGTTGAAAAGGCTCTCATGTGCTTTGCCTTGGCAGAGCGGGCACCAAGTTCAGGACTGGGGCCACCAGAACCATCCTCTGTAACATTCAGTTGGCAGGAGGGTGATCTCTGCAGCAAGAGGAAAGGATTTCACACAGTGAAATATGAAAAAAACAAAAACCCCAACAACCAAACCTTTTTACGAAGTAGCTTGCCAAGAATTCAGAGAGGATAAAAGCAACAGGTCCGACTGGAAATTCCTTTGTTCTGTGAGCAGCCCCTTTGGAAATTGCCCTGCAGATGGGCTCCAATGCTGTGAAGCATTTTCCTGCTGTTGGAATATCATGTAAATGGATGGAACAAACCATTGCAGGCTTTACATCAGCATGTGCATGTGTTCTGGAGAGGAAGGAAAAAAGTTGAAATAAAGAGTTGGTTTATTTCCCTGTCTTCTCTCTTAACTCTGTGATTCAGACTGTCCTTCCCTCTTGTGGCAGAATGGGAGACAAGGAAATGCTCCAGTAACCTGGAACATCAGTAATTAGCATTAGTGAGAAGTCCCGGGAGAAGTGGAGTGTGGAGAGACACTGTAGAATTAAGGAGGGAGAGTTTCCACTTTAGCTCCAACTTAAAAGCTTACTTTTCTTTTAAAACAATGTTTGCTTTCAGCTTATGATGCCAGATGTCTGTTTAGCACCAAAGTTGTATTTTTAGGAATGTCAGCCCCTTAGCTCTCAATGAAATGATGCCGCAGTCATTCATTCTGAAAGTGCAATGCTATTTTCGTGTGCTGCTCAGGGACCAAAGGCACCTCCCAAGTTGCAAGTACCAGGAGAGAAGTGGAGAAGTGAGAATCCATAAGTGATGTGTTTCATGTTTTACAGCTGCACAAATTCCAGGACACTGCATTGGTCATATGTCATTGTATCATGGGATGTGAAGAGGTATTCCCACTTTTCCAGTGCTGTGAGTGGTACAGCAGAGGGAAGGAAACACTTGGATCTCAGAGATGAGCAAACCCCAGAGCATAAGGGGCAGCTCCTCTGTTGCTCTGCAGGCAGCCCAGCAGCTTTTCACACAGCCCATCTCTGTGGCCTGTAACACCATGTGCGTTCTGTGGTCAGGAGAGCAGCTGCTGCCTGACAGAGCAGGGTGTGAACTCTGCATTTCTTCAAACAGAGAACTTTCCAGAAGGTTTTTCTTATGGAGTTAAGGATCACAGAAGGGTTTGGAAAGGACCCTAAAATCACATCCACCCCTGTGCCACCCCTGCAATCCAGCCCCAGTGTCCAACCTGGCCTTGGGCACTGCCAGGGATCCAGGGGCAGCCCCAGCTGCTCTGGGCACCCTGTGCCAGGGCCTGCCCACCCTGCCAGGGAACAATTCCTGCCCAATATCTGACCTGAATTTAGTTTGAACCCATTCCCTGTGTCCTGTCACTGCAGTTCCTGAGGAATTGTCTCTCTCTGGGGTCCCTGCAGACCCTGGGAGGAGCTCTGGGGTCTCCACACAACCTTCTCCTCTCCAGGCTCAGCAGCCCCAGCTCTCCCAGCCTGGCTCCACAGGGGAGGTGCTCCAATCCACTCAGCACCTCCATGGCCTCCTCTGGACTTGCTCCAACAGTTCCATGTCCTTTTTGCATTGTTTCCACAGATCAGGGTTGTTTTACAGAACTCTCCAGCATTTTGTACCTCTTGTACCATGTGGAGCAAAGGAACATAGAGCACATGGGAGAAAGCACATGCATTTTGGACTGGGCTCTTGCTGTGACTTGTGATGAACATCAATGGAAAATGCTTTTAATTAGGATAAAGTGTATAGGGAAGGATCAAGTTTAGACAGAGTCAGAAGCAAAACATTCTGTATCAATTCATGGGTTAACCCACCATAAATCTTGTAATCCCCAATCCTCACCAGACCCTCATGAGTACCATGCCAGGGGCTGATTGCAACAATCTTCAGAAAAAGGGCAGAAATGAGTGTGTGGTGAGAGGGAAGACTTGATAAAGGGATATTGCACATCAGAGTTGGGCTGGACTGGAAATCCTCTGCAATATTTATTTCCAAAGCATAAAGATTATCTCGGTGAAAATCATAGTTTTCCAGGTTGACAATTTCATTTTAGTTCTACTTGATCTACTTTTCAGACACTTGGGAAATCAGTGTAACATCTTACCTCCCCATGCCAAAATGGGAGCTTTTAGATGGCTAATTTGTTCTGCATGCTTTCCAGGATGGGATACACTTAGGGCTTGTTGTGAGAAGAGTTTTTGCATTGCTGTGTGGCCAAGCCCTGTTTAATGCTGGTGTGATGCAAAGGAGATCCTAGAGGAAGTTCTGAGGGGTCGCCTGAAGTGTCTTTTTTACTGTTTTCATATCAGTGAGTCTGTATTGTACCAGATGAATATCAAGGAATTGTTGAGGTTGGAAGGGGCCTCTGGTGAGCATCTGGTCCAGCCCCTGCCCAGGTAGGGTCACCCCCAGGCAGGTGACACAGGTGGGTTTTGAGTGTTTGTGAGAAGGGGCTCCACAATCTCTCTGGGCAATCTGCTCCAGTCTCTGTCACCCTCAAAGAAGCTTTTCCTCACATTCAGATGGAACATCCTGTGTTCCCCTTTGTGCCCCTTGCTCCTTATCCTGTAGCTGGGTACCACTGAGAAGTGTCTGGCCCCATCATCTTCAGATATTTGTGTGCATTGATTGGGTCTCCTCTCAACCTTCTCCAGTTTAACAGGCCCAGCCCCCTCAGTGTCTCCTCACTAGAGATGCTCCAGCCATACCTCCATCTTTGCAGCCTTCAATATCTGTGATTTCCCCTTGAAAGAAGTAGAAGAGTGAACCTTTAAGACTTGTTTTCCAAGAATCAATATTCAGAAAGGCTACAATGCTGCTTATGACATTTTCACCTAAACAGAACCAAATGTGTTCTCCTGGGGCAGAGCGGTGTCAGCGCAGCCCCGTGCTGAAAGCACAGAGAGCAGCTAAAACCCTGCACCTGGAAAACCCTTTTGTAATGTTCTCTGGGCTCATGACCTGATAATTGATTAATTAATGTCTCTAGAGAACATTAAAGGAAATAAAGTTTTGCAGGTGTGCCCTGAAGAGCTGTATGAAAACACTGCTTGGGTTTTCTTTGGGGGAAAAGGGTGGTCTCTAGAGTCCCTATAGTTTGCACAGCAGCCTAACCTGTAGCACACAAGGAAGCAGGAAGGCACTGAAAGCTGAATTACAATGAAATTACCTCTGGAGTTAGGATATTTAGGAGTATGCCAGTGCAAAACACTGCTTAAGGTTCTGCTGCAGTGATGTCTATGAAGGGTCAAACACATTTGGTCTGAGGGTGATGCTTTCAAGCTCAATAAATATGTTGGTTGGAGACCTCCTGATTATTGTTAAGCCCCAAAATGCAGCTTTTTAAAGGGTTTACATCTAAACTGACACCTCAGCATTGATCAGAACTGATCGACCAACGCTGTGATGGACTTGGAGAAAAATGTGAATAAACAAAGGAAATTCATTGCTGCTTCTCTCTCCAGTGGGAGTGCTGAGCTCCAGGCAGCCAGGTGAGAACTCACTGGGCTGGGGCCACAAATCTGAGTTTGGCTGAGGGTCACATCTCTGCTGATACACAGAGGCAAATTGGAAGGCAATACAGCAGTAGCTGGAGCCCAAAGGGTTTATTTTTGCTGCTGAGAAGGAGATTGCCAAAGCTTGCTCTGCTGGGAAATTAAAAATAAAAAAAAAAAAAGTTTTGTAAACAGAGTTGGGTTACAAAGAAATAAATAGAAGTTGTGGGTGATTTGATCTTCAGCAGGAGCACAGCTATACCTGGTTAATTGTATGGGGTAAATAGGTAATTTCACAGATATTTGCACTGATGGCCACTTGTGAAGGAAAGATGGGAAAACTGAAAGCTGCAGCATGGAGCGGATAGAGGGGTCAAATCAGAGGTGAGAGTAGAAAATGCTTAGTATTTATCAAGTCACCTTGTATTGGCTGCTGGTTGGAATGACTTCATCTGAAATGTAACAGAACTCTTAATTCTCTCTAAAGATGTAGAAAGTTAAATACTTTAAATGAAATTATACATGTGCTATTAATTTGGCCTCATTAAGTATTGAGAACTACAATTTCAAACATTTGACTTCTGATTTGTTCGTTTAAAAAAAAAAAAATATCCAGGCATTGGTTTACAATTGTTAATTAGAAGCCAAGCAATGAACTGCTTCTACCAGACCTTCGTAAGGAAATCAGAGAATGCAGGTTATGAATGGGATCAGAAGTCTTGCAACACTATGCACAAATTGAAACCTGATTTTTGAAATACAGAACTATGGATCAGGAATTATCTCTTTCCTCTAAAATAAATGTCAGTGTCACTGGATGAGATGAGGACCAGGCTCATGTCCTGTTGATTTATTTCAGTGGAGAAGAAACCACATTACTGATCTTTGTTTGCAGAAGAACTTCTTGTAGCTCTTGGACACTTTCTCAGAGCATTTTTCAGCTGTTTCTAGCCCTGCCTATGCCTGTGTTGTTCCAGCCCTGACCTTCCCTGGTTGCTTGCCCTTTTCTCCTGCCCCTGTCCTTCCCTGGAACCAATTTCTTTCAAACACCTTTTCTCAGTAACCTCTGAACTCCTGACTTTGCCTCAGCCTTGTTTATCTTTCCTTTGGCAGATAATGCATATTTCCTTGTGGTTTCTAAAATAATTCATTCAGTTACAGCAGTAATTTACAGCTGTTTAAGAGCTGGTACCAGTTGCACTGTTACTGTCCCACTTGCCACAGAGTTTTTTCCTCTTTTTGGTTCTGGAAGCTGGGTTTGGGTTGCGCTTGTTTTAAAATTGGGTTTGCTTTTTAACTGAAGTTAGGCCTTATGTAAAAGCTCATTCATATGCATAAATGTTTCACAATCAAATCATTAGTGTTGCTGCTTAACAAATAAGGGGAGAAAATTAGATTTTAAGGTTTACTTTTAGGTGCTTCCATAAGGATCATGCTTGACAATGTAGCCATGGGAAGTTCTGGGCTCATTTAGGGGCTTTGTGCTTCTGCTTGGTTTCAAAGTTTAGAAGTTTAAAGTGTGGATGGTAAAGGAAGGTCATAAATAATTTTATTATAATAAAATTTCAGAGGGAATAATTTTTAAAAACTAACATGGAAACTCTGTGTTTAGAGGTGTAAACTAATCCAGCATCCCAGACTTGTTTTGTGCTGCTGTGCCCACAACCTCTGCTCAGGGCCGGTGCAGAGCTGTAGAGAAAGGCAGCACCTGGAAGAAAACACCATCACAGCCAGGTAGGGACACAATTTGATTTTCTCCTTGTGTTCAGTAGGCAGCAGAGCAGTGATGATGGGAACAGGGAGGGTTCAACCCACACACCAGAAGAGTTTTGCCATTCTTTGACCTGAGCTCTGAGCTCTCCCATAAAAGCACTCAGCTCCTTTTCCATTGAATGTTTATTCACTGCTGCTGTCAGAACACCGAGTGATTTTTGGGTAAGTTCTGTGGCCTGTTTGGAATGCAAATCTTAGGGAAATACCTAAGCTGTGGAAGCAGCCCTCCCTCCCCATGGCACTGCCATATTTGCTCTGTTCCTTCCAGGATAGCTGGAACTCAATCCCAAACAGCAACACATGGTGGCTGTTCATAAACTCCCCTGGTACTGGGAACCTCCTGGGTTTCTCCTGCTGCTCTGGGAGGCAGAAGTGGGCAGGCAGCAGAGATGGAGGGCACACACAGGGAGTGCAAGGAGCTGGGTGCAGCTGGAATTGCATCAGCATTTGTCCCATCGCTGAGTTCAGACCCTTCACACCTTGTGTTGTGGCTTCTGACAAGGAAAGTGCCACCATCCTGGTTCACCCTGCAGCAGAGCCCACTTCTACACCCTCCACTAACTGCACTTCAGTAGAGATTTTACTGCTGCCTTTCAGCTTTTTTCTCCTCTGGAAGTAGACTGCTCTCTCTTCCTCCCAGATATGGTGGGTGTTTTAAGGGGCTTTCCTTTTCTGACAGAATTTGGCATGTGGAACTCCCAGTGAGTGTGATGAGGATTCCACAGGGGCTGGCTGTGATGGGCACAGCAGAAGGCAACTCATGCCACCCCCACTGAAAGGGAATTCGGGTTTGTTTGTGGGATGAGAACTATGTTGCTCTCAGAAACTGAGGAAACATCACTCTTGTTCTCCTCACAGGTACATGTTCTGAGGGATGGGAGAACTTTTTAAGTGCCAGATGTGCAGCCTTCATCCCTGATAGCTGAGAGTCTGGTTCATTTTCCACATACTTCTTCCTGTAATACCCCTGAGACTGAATAGGACTTTTACTCCCATTTTTTCAGTGCAGAGGTAGGAAATGCTGAGCCAAATTCATTGAGGATGCCTGTAGACAGAGGATAAAGTGAAGGTCTGGTCTCCCAAGTGTTTTTTGACTCCCTGAAAGCAACTATATCAGTTAGGACTGACAGCCCTCTTAAAAATGTATCAGGTTCATCTTGGAAATCGTTGTCAGTCTTAATTTGACCATAATTATTCATGAAAACTCAGATTTTGTGTCCTATATGTCCACCAGAATGCATTTTCATGATAAATTGAAAAAAAGCCCATTTCTTGAGATGGAAAAAAGATTCCAATTGACTTGTGGTTAAGTTTGTCAGAGAAAGAGTTTACTTAACTCTGTTTGTTCAGGATACAAACACTGTTAACCAGAGCTCACTTTCATTATTCCTTGTGAGACCACTGAAGAACAAAAAGTCTTTTCATTGTGCTGAATACATGAAATATTCAGTTAAATCTGGGAAATTTCACTGGCTTTCAATCATCTTGCTGACTTGTCAGAGCAGAAGGTGTGCCAAGGATAGAGGACTTTGTATTTTACCCTGTGTTCTTTCTGTCTCCTTATTTTTTTGGCTTGGAAAACAATGGAAGAAAGATAAGGTTGAAGGACTATAAAGCAATTAAGAACTTTATGTGTCATTTTGATGGAGTCAGTGGTTAGGCTTCACTCACAGACCAGGCTTTGATGAAATCAGTGAAAGGCTTTGCTCCTGACACTGAAACCCTACACGAGTTCTTTTAAATCCATGGAATTCTGTATCTGTTGCATGTGAAAACTGTGTTACACAGCAGATGCCTGGTTAAAGCAAAATTAGGGACAGAAAGTGAGAAAAAAAAAATCATAATTACTTTTTCCCTCCTATTCTTCCTGCCTTTCAAGCTATGCACGTCCAGCTGCTGCTTTCCTCCTTGCTAGTGCACCAGAGCACATTTTACATTTGAAGGTGCAGTTCTGGGGTTGATGTTTCTGAATGGTTACCTGAACAATGGTTAATCCCTGGGGCCAGGATAACCCATCTGTCCCTTTCATTCCAGGCAGAAATCCCTGGTGCTTCCCAGAGCCTTCTGCCCATGCTGTCCTCTGCATCCCTCACGTGTGTCCCACTCCTGTGGCACCAGCCACCTCCCAGCTCTATGTTCCACTCCTCCCAGAGATCACTGTGTTCTTTTCTGCTCAGCCTATGGCAGAAGTCTCAGATAAAATCACCTGTATGAATTACAGGTCAGTGAAGCAGATTTGAGATGACCAGACCCCTTTGGATAATTTAATTTTTAGGGGCCAAACTTGCAAAAATCAGACCTGCCTGATGCTTCCATCTGTAACTGAGGCCTTGACTTAGAATCAACTGTGTTTAGTGGAACAGCAGATGACAAATTTAGAGCATTTTAAGCAAGTGTTGAGATGTGAACATGATGGATTCACCTACAGAAAATGGAAGCTAGACACTCTGTTTCTGTGGTGACATTTCTAAAGAGGCAATTCCATGCCACAGAATGAAATGGTGCCTGATTTTAGTGATGAGCTATGTCAGGGTGTACAACCACACAGTTCCCTCCTCTGTTCAGGTCCCACACTTGGAAGTTGTGAAGTTTTGAAGAAAAACATTGATTTGATCCCCCTATTTTTTCCTTTGCACCTGTAGCTGCTACAGCTGTTTAATATTTTTTTTTGTTATGCACTTGAAAAAAAAGGAAACATCATCACTTTTCTTGTCATATTCTTTTTTTGGGGTTTTTTTTTGTTTTGTTTTTTTGTTGTTGCTTTATACAAAGCCTTTTTTGATTTAGCAGTACTTGTCTGTGCACTTTCATGTTGTTTCTCTGGAATCACTCCCTGTAGTGTGAATAAATGATATTTGTGTCAGCAGCTAATCTCACTCCAAAGCCCGTATTGTTATTAATATGTTTATTCAATACTGTTTGTTCCAGCCCCAACTTACGCATTTCCACGCTCTTTATTCCTGAGTGCCTGGTGCCCATCAATCCTCACCCTCTGCTGGGATTAGGGGGATGAGGGATTACCCGTGCAGAACATCTGTCACTGCTGCTGCTGAAGGAGCTGCAGGGCTGGGGAGGGATGGGGCAGAGCTCAGCCCCAGCTCTGGGCCTGGTCACACAGCCAGGGCTGCTGGGCTCGGTCTCAGCCCCTCTCCTCTGTGTGGGAACTCTTCACAAGTGTCTGTGTCCAGCACTGCTGCACTCAGGGCTAACCCTTCCCTGTTTAAACAGGTAAAAATGCACAAAAAAGGCTGTTCATTTCAGTGTAAATGCTGGTAGTTTAGTGAAAAAGTAGCTTTGAATAATTATGTCAATTTATTTCCAATATCATCTAGGTTTAGAAAAGCATTTAATCTCTGGAGAATCTTTGCTTCGTGTCCCAGGGTGGGATTTTGCAACATTAGGATGCAGCTGCAAGGAACACCGGTGGCATTCCTGAGAGCTCCTGTGGAGTGCTGGAGCCCCAGGACCTGCACGGACCTGGCTGTACCAGCACTGCTCATATCCTGCTGTAGGCTCACAGGCTGGGGGAGAAAAATCTCCTAATTCCAAACCTCCAACTAGGCTTCAGCTGGAGAAACCTCAGCCTGAACTCTCACTAGCAGTTCCACACAGAAGGAAAACAGGATGAGGGGTTTTTCCCTGATCTTTCTCAGGCCGTGGAGCACTGACCTAGGGGATGGACTCATGATGTCAGAACTATCACCACATTACAGCATTTACTGCTTCTGTGGTAAAAATAACTTTTCTTCTAGAGATTTCTGCAATTTGTCTAAAAGCCTCTTTAAGAACATTTGTTTGAAACTGTAATGTTACTTCCAAATTCCATGTATGAATCAACACAAACTTAATTTGGAATTAGACACAGAAATTCCAGATCATACCATTGGTATTACTTTATAAATTTATTCTCTTGGCTTTGGCCTTGCTGTCACTGAGGCCAAAGCAATTTACACAGGTCACATGTGCTATATTTTAGCTCATTAAATATTCCATGCCTGAACCTGGCTAGTTAGGTATTGCTAAAGTAATAAACTGCTTTATTTCTAAAGTCACTTACTCCTAATGCTCGAGCTCCAGGTGCCTCAGCGTGGACACTTGAAGTTGAAGAGTTTTCCAAATGTCTGTTTTGAGTGTTTGTTTGGTTTATGAGCACCATGAAGACTACTTAAGGCAGTAAATTATCACATATACACCCTCTAAATAAGAATATAAATCTGACAAAAATACAATCTTAGATAGAACGTTTTTCCCTTGGGAGCCTTTAGTCCCTTTCCTGTGCCAAGCCATCCTTGTGCCTACGCAGGTTCCTGTTTTACAGCAAAAGAGCTGAAGCAGTCATTCCTTAGGTTTCTTCTCTTTCCATTGCTCCTGCTTGTCTCGGGCAAAGCTGTTCTTTCAAGCTTTTTGATTGGTGCATAATTAAGGAGGTATATGGGACAATAGCTTCTTATTTTAAAAAGCCATAAAGATTTAATGAGAACATGGCTTCAGGGCCTTCCTCAGTGAGAAAGGGAAAAAAAAGAGAAGAAAAAAGAGGAAAGCACATGTGTTGCTGGTTCCTAGAGAACCCTGCTGCAGCACAATGGAATATCTCCAGACAGACATGGCAATGAAATGCTGAGAGCTTTTGAAGAGGCAGCTAACAACAGGAAGAGAAAAGTACTTAAACCATCAGATGAAATGAGTGCTTTGCAAGGAAAATGATCCAGGCAAAGGGAGGCTGGCACTGACGGATGGTGAACCCTGACATACGTGATCTGCCTTTGCTGTGGTTTGTATCATCACAGCTTCATGCTAGAAACACATCTCTGCTTTCTTGGGCCTTTTGTTTTCTGTGTAATTATTTCCAATTTGTCCCTTGCAATGTCATTTCTCTTCTAATTTTCACTCTGGAGGTGTTTTCCTTTCTTTGCTGCTTTGTTCCAGAAGCACTGTTCTCACATCCCTGCTCTGCAGCTCTTTTAATCTCTCTGAGAGCAAACTGATGCATCATCTGAGACTTCTGTCTGTGATCTTCATCAGAAAGACTGCAAGATTAATTCAGAGGAACAGAGGGATGTGCACCATGTAAAAGCAAAAGCTTTCACAAAATTTCACTGAAGACAAAGGGTTTCAAGTTTGAGCAACGCTGTCTTTTGAGATTCACTGGTCAAGGGAATGCAAATCTGGAGGTCTATTCTTTAGCTGGCCCTTTGCAGCATAAAGTAGCCTTTGTATAATGCTGTGCTGTAATGTAGAAAATTCCTTTCTTACAACGTTGCCTGCAGTAGAATTCATCACCACATGGAAACAGTGGTGTGTGCTAGGAAGATGTGGAAAGAGGAAGCAATATTTATAGATGATATTTATAAACAAACTGCATGTATTAACCAAAAGACAGGATATGCTTCAAACAACATCACATGCTACTGTTATATTCATGTATGTTTAACCACTGTAAAGTATATCCTGAAAGGTGCTGTGAATAGTCAGTCCAGAGTGGTGCTGAACTGCCCAACTTTCGGGAAATCAAATGGGAAATCAAGGCTTTAGCCACCCTCAAACAGAACAAAGGTAGCACACAACTGCTGTGTGAATCACAGAATGGTTTGGGCTGGAATTGACTTGAAAGCCCATCCAGTGCCACCCCTGCCATGGCAGGGACACCTCCCACTGTCCCAGGCTGCTCCAGCCCCAATGTCCAAGCTGGCCTTGGGCACTGCCAGGGATCCAGGGGCAGCCCCAGCTGCTCTGGGCACCCTGTGCCAGGGCCTGCCCACCCTGCCAGGGAACAATTCCTGCCCAATATCCCATCTCTCCCTGTCCTCTGGCACTGGGAGCCATTCCCTGTGTCCTGTCCCTCCAGCCCTTGGTAATTGTCTCTCTCCATCTTTCCTGCAGCTCCTTCAGGCCCTGCAAGGCCACCCTGAGCTCAGCCCAAAGCTTCTCCTCTCCAGGCTGAACCATCCCAGCTGTGGCAGCCTTTCCTCCCAGCAGAGCTGCTCCATCCCTTTGCTCATCCTGGAGCCTCCTCTGGACTCTCTCCAGCAGCTCCAGGTCCAGAAAAATGAACAGAAGGGAACCAAAAGCTCAGAATAAGTGTGGAGCCTTAAGAGAAACAAATGGTGTGACCTTTAGCCCCAAGGCAGACAGCAAGAAAAAAAAACTCGCAACAGCTCTGCCCCTTCCCAGCAGGTCAGGGACACAAACTGCAGAGCAGGGCTGCACCTTGGGCTCTGTCTCCTGCTGTTCTTTGTGTTTGCACAGGACTGGGTGAAGCTGTCTAAACAGAGATGCCTCAATCTAGGTTTGTCTGATAAAGCCCATTTCTGGCCCTCTGAATGCTGTGAATTTTGCGAAGTTGATCCAGAGCAGCTGTAATCAGTGCAAGATTTCTGTCCATTATCCTTGCTGCTTATGGAATTCAGTTTTAAGGTCCTTCCTTTGCAGCATAGAAAACAATTAACTCTCTGTTCCCAATATTTATTGTAAAAACATCCTCTCTGTATGCTCTCCCAGCTATCATATGAAGTAGCTGACTGGATGCATTTCCACACCTTCTACTACAAAGATTGTTCCCAAAATGGATTAATATCCTTTCCAAAAAGAGGATCAAATTAGTCCTGTTGGAATATGTGTAACCACAGGAGTCTCCAAAGCTTTTTAGAGACTTTTTCTAGAGCTTTTAACATTTTATGCTGAAGTACAGAGAAGTCTCTTCTGTTTGATACATATACAAATGATCTGTATTTTCAGAAGCCTTTCTTTTGCTTCAAAAACTTCTTTTGTGTGCCCCTATTCAGCAAATTTCCTGTTCGTGGCCAGAGCAGTTAAAACAAGGTATTAACATTTTCAATACATTTTTTCTGTTGTTCTTTAAAGATCCTGACAGTTGTGTTAATGATAGGTTAGCAGCTCAGTTTTATTTGGTACCTTGACCATGCAGATGAACAGATGGATTCACTCACATCCATGCTCTGATGGAAGAGACATCCAATTATTTATCCTTGGTTTCCTGCAGCAGATTGTGCAATGAAAAGTCATTGTAAAAGTCATCTTGTAGTGCCTGGCCTCAGTTTTAGGGTTATCCTCAGCCTCTAGAAACCCAAACACAATGAGTGTTTTGACATGCCAAGCTCTAAAGCTCTCTAAGAGCCTGGGAGCAGACTGTGACTGTGGAAGGTTGGAATGTAACTTAGGATAAAGCAGAAGGGATTTAACCTGTGTAGGGAAAAAAAAAAAAAAAAAGGCAGTTAAGCAGTTTTCCAGCCAAGGAAACTGTGCTGAGAGAGAGCTGAATTTGACCATTTTATTTTATTCTGCTTTTTCAGTAGGCCTGCTGTTTGGGCATTTGCTGTTGGGGTGTTTGCTAAGACCCTGGGAGTGCTCTGGGAGCTGCTTTGTTCTCTGCTGTCGTGTTCAGTTTGCAGAGGACATTTTAGCAGTCTAAAACTAAAAGATGGAGAAGAGCAGAGGAGGTTCCTGGGCTGCTGGGCCCTTCCCAGCCAGGCACGCAGGGCTGCTCTGCAGGAGAAACCTGTGGCTTACAGCATGTGCAGGCCCTCTGTGTCCCCCCTACCCTCCTCCTCCTCTGGTCCCACCTTTTGTTCTGCTCTCTCACATTCCTCCATGTG